AGAAAGAGAAAGAGAAAGAGAAAGAGAAAGAGAAAGAGAAAGAGAAAGAGAAAGAGAAAACTAGATGCAATAGTACATGGATGCAAAGCCACAGTAAGACACAGGACAGTCAATAAACTGGTATTGTAATGAGACAAGCAAGATACACGAGGGATAAAAGAGGCTTAACATCTTGGAATAGTAGTAGTAACTACTTATAGTAGACATCATGTGTTAAGAAGAGGCTAATTGGTGTAACTGCGAGGAACAGTAAATGAAGTATCATATTACTAGTAACTAAACACGTTAGTCAGATACATGGATCAATGCTTGGCAAATAAAGTGTCACAAGCACTATCCACGTCGATCAAGCACCAATGTGCACCAAGTTAACCCATCGCTCTGTCGTGACGCCATCCCGTCCTCGCAATGCCAAGACAGCTTGACGAAGCGCAGCTACAGACCGCTTGTGGATCACTTCACCGTCCTCATAGTCTCCCATGTATGAGTAAACTTCCCTAGCTAGTACAGGACCATCCGGATCGTACATCTCCCACATTGTCCCAATCACACTTCGGAAACCACAGAATTGTATGGCAGCGGCTAAGTGGAGGGCTTCATCAAACGAGCGAAAATCACCCTGTTCCGCAGTGTGGCATGCAGAGAGAAACGCAAACTCAGCATTTGGAAGGTTGGCTCGAATGATATCGAGCAATGTCAATCCCTCGTCGGAAAGCACAAAAGAAGAATCAAGCGACCCTGAGCCTAGATGTCCATGACAAGCAAAATGGATCCACGTGACTTTCTGCAGCTGCAGACTGTCCATTACTGTACTGCGAAGTGCCTTCTTGTTGAGAAGTATTGTGGGACGTGAAACGTAGCTCCGGGTATTATTCCGAACGGTGCGAATTTCTACATCCGTTGATTTAAGACTAACGGTATCGCCAACGATAAGCATTGCAGGATCGCCCTGGTTTTCCCTTAATCGGGCATTGATGAGAGCTACGAGTGTCGGGGTATATGATGACACGTAGTCGTCCAGTAAATACTTCACAGTTCCATCTGCATCCTTGAATGGGCCTGCAGCATGGAAAGGAAGAGAGGAAAGAAATGACGTAGGGCACCACCAAATACGCGATCCCTCAGTAATCCCTAGCTCCTTAAGTTTCTTGACGACTTTGGAGACGACCCTATCCCACAACACCTTCATTGCTCGTCGGAGTACCTCGTCGTATTCTGCTGAGAAAACTTTAGATTTCAATCGTGCTTCTAAGAGATCGCCGAGCAGAGTAACGCTATCCTTGCAAAACTCGCCATCTAACGGAACACAGACGACAGGCTGGTCCTCACGAGAGAGGATAATGAGCGCATCGGATCGATATCTGCTAACATTGACCACAATCACCGGTCCCTCTGAAGCTACTTGCTGGAGTACTTTAAACGGTGTGGCTGTAAGGAAGCTCTCGAACCCAGGGATTTGCTGTATCTCCCTGATAAGCTCTTCCTGCTCGCTAGAGAGTTTCTTCTTCAGTTTCAGCCTCTCTTCAGACAAAATCCGTTCTCCATGTACGTCCAGTGCAGATAACCCGCTTCCGGCGGTGCTTGAATTATTCCGCAGTGCGCTAGATGTCGTTGCAAGGTCTTCCAATTGCCGACTAACAATCCTGAATCTCTCGGCAAGCTCTCTATTCGTATCTGCAAGGTCATCTAACGGTGTTCTAAAACCACGCATTTGTGACCAGAGTAAACCTCGTCCTTGCTCAAGAATCTCTATTGCCTCCTCGAGCCTATTCTCCTCTACAGCATAAGCCACTGCATCTAATGTGAGCATTGTGTAGTTGAGTTTTCCAATGAGGAAATCGTGTTGTGCACAAAGGGTAGGGTGAATGACAAGGAAACGTTGCAGGAGCAGCATTACTACCTTGTAAGCCCTGGATGTGGTATGGTGACTATGATTTCGAGCAAGTGTAACCCATCGACTAGCGCTCTTGAGACGCTCCACTAAGCTTGAAAACATATGTTCTGCAGCACATTCGAGTGATTTTATACATTCTTCAAAATCGTCCATGAGCCCGAACTTGGTGAATCATGAGTGTAACAAAGCAGCCAAGTTTATCAGTGATGTTGAACGATTGAGATGGCCTTCGGGACAAAGAAGCAGGGCAGCATGATGAAGCTCGATGGCCTCATTGAGGTCTGCAGTCTGTCTGTTCTGCTTATATCGAGTGTGAAGGGGATTCGCAAGGTTATCCAGGGACATGGAACGATAAGGGTGGCCGTCAGGGCGAAGTGGCAAGGCAGCACGATTCAGTTCAATAGCCTCATTAATGTCTGCAGTCTGTCCGTGCTGTTGAAATCGAGTCTGAAGTGAACCCGCAAGGTTATTCAGGGACACGGAACGTTTGGGATGGCCGTCGGGGCAGAGTTGTAAGGCAGCACGATGAAGCTTGATGGCCTCATCAAGGTCCGCGGTCCGTCCGTGCTGTTGAAATCGAGTCTGAAGTGATCCAGCGAGGTTATTCAGGGACCCGGAACGTATGGGATGGCTGTCGGGGTAGAGTTGCAAGGCAGCACGATGAAGCCTGATGGCCTCATCTAGGTCCGCGGTCTGTCCGTACTGTCGAAATCGAGTCTGAAGTGAACCTGCAAGGTTATTCAGGGATGCAGAACGATCAGGATGGCCAGCAGGGCAAAGCTGCAAGGCAGCACGATGAAGCTCGATGGCCTCATCAAGGTTTTCAGTCTGTCCATTCTGTTGAAATCGAGTCTGAAGGGAAATCGCAAGGTTATTCAGGGACGTGGAATGATCGGGATGGCCGTCAAGGCAAAGTTGCAGGGCAACACGATGATGGTCAATGGCCTCATTGAGGTTTTCAGTCTGTCCGTTCTGTTCAAATCGAGTTCGAAGGGAACTTGCAAGGTTATCCAGGGACATGGACCGATCGGGATGGCCGTCGGGGCAGAGTTGCAAGGCGGCACGATGAAGCTTGATGGCCTCATCAAGGTTTTCAGTCTGTCCGTACTGGTCAAATCGAGTGTGAAGGGAATTTGCAAGGTTATTCAGGGACTTGAAACGATTGGGATGGCCGTCGGGAAGAAGTTGTAGGCCAGCACGGTGATGCTCGATGGCCTCATCAAGGTCCTCGGTCTGTCCATGCTGTCGAAATCGAGTCTGAAGGGAACTTGCAAGGTTATCCAGGGACGCGGTACGATTGGGATGGCCTTCGGGAAGAAGTTGCAAGGCAGCACGATGAAGCTCGATGGCCTCATCTAGGTCTGCAGTCTGTCCGTTCTGCTTAAATTGAGTCTGAAGAGAAGTCGCAAGGTTATACAGGGACGAGGAACGATCGGGATGGCCGTCGGGGCGAAGTTGCAAGGCAGCATGATGAAGCCTGATGGCCTCATCAAGGTTTTCAGTCTGTCCGTTCTGTTCGAATTGAGTCTGAAGGGAACTCGCAAGGTTATCCAGGGACGCGGAACGATCGGGATGGCTGTCGGGAAGAAGTTGCAGAGCAGCACGATGAAGCTCGATGGCCTCAACGAGGTCCGCAGTCTGTCTGTGCTGGTTAAATCGAGAGTGAAGGGAACCCGCAAGGTTATTCAGGGATCCGGAACGATTGGGATGGTCATCGGGGCGAAGTTGCAAGGCAGCACGATGAAGCTCGATGGCCTCATCGAGGTTTTCAGTCTGTCCGTTCTGTTCGAATTGAGTCCGAAGGGAATTCGCAAGGCTATTCAGGAACATGGAACGATCGGGATGGCTGTCAAGGCAATGTTGCAGGGCAACACAATGATGCTCAATGGCCTCCTCTAGGTCTTCCATTCTCCCGTACTGTTTGAAACGCTCGCCAAGAAACTCGCCAAGAAAGTGTAATAACACCTTGCGGAAATCCAGCCATCCTCCAGGACAAAGTCCAAGCGCAATGCAAACATGAAAAATGGCATTGTCAAGTTCTCCTCGTTCCTGCATTTCTTCAAAGCGTGCCTAGTGCCTCTCGCTCAGCCGACCGAGTGTAGCACAAACCAAATTGAGGTCTATGTAAAACTCCATTCTAGTGCGTGGTCGCAGCAATACTTGTTGGTAGTTCTGATACTCTTTGGTCTAGCAGTGTGTTCAGTAAGGAAGGAAGGCAAGATACAAAGGATACAGTACCTGAAATGGTCTTTTGTCCTTGAATGTTTCTTGTGCTGTCTGCTGTCCTCCAAGCAGACGGTTCTCCCAAGACCTAAGAATATCCCTTTGAAATCACTCGCTTACACAAAAATACATATTTGAAGAGATCAACCTACAAGGAATGGATAAACAACTAACGTTTTAGTGTAGGAGCTGTGTTGTAGGGCTTCAGCCTTGAGTACAATAGTAGGACTGAGGGAAGAAGGCAAGAGCTTATT